TACCCGGATTGTTTGCACCCCTTCTTCTACTGGTATAACTTTTTGGTTATATTAATACTGATTACATTAAAATTATAAACAAATTTAGAATTGATAATAAATCACAAGTAGATACACATTCAATTAGCATGTTTCCATGGATGTCGGGAATATTTTTCCTTTTTTTTCCAGATAAGAGGAGGGGTAGGTGGAGTGATAGGAGCACCATCTTGTAAATGAGAGAGCACTGACATGCTAACAATAATAATAATAATAATAATAATAATAATAACGAAAGCAGTGGAGCACAAATCACACGACCCCACCATTTTTGCACTCTTATACGGTCTTAATCAGCTCCCTAATGAAAGGGATGCGCATATGGAGTTTGGTGGGTCTTGATTTTTTTTTGGGAAAAATGCTTCCAGCCCCCAAAACTAATGAAAACAAGCTTCCCCCTCCCAAGACTTTTTCAACGTGTGTTTTACCCCCAAAAGTAAACTCTGTGTTCTCTGAGCCCCCAAAACACAAAACCCAAGAAATTAAGATACGTGAAGACCATAATACCCTCCATTGTCACATCCTCCTTCCTCTCCAAACCTAACCACCGCAACCTCCTCTCTTTCTCCTCCTTCCATGGCCTCAAGCTCATCTCCGCCTTCAAAACCCAATCTTTCTCCTCCCTATCATTGTCATCCTCCGCCCCCAAATCTCCACATCCTACGACCTCTCCTCCATCTGCTTCCGCCCCATCAAAGAATCCATCGTCTCCCGCGAGATGACCCGCCGCTACATGTCCGACATAATCACCTACGCTAACACCGTCGGCGGCGGCGGCGGTGGCGGTGGCGGCGAATCCGTCGGCCTCTCCTGCGCCTACGAGCTCTCCAAGAACCCCGACATCAACGTCGCCATCATCGAGCAGTCCGTCTCCCCGGCATTGACGATCTGATTTCTTCCTCCATCTAGAGAGCGTCGAGTTTGTACAGAAAGTGAAGCGTATCGCTGACAAATACTGGGATCTCTACTCTCAGGAACGCGATCTCCCTTCTTGAAAACAGATTGATGAAACAACTCTTAAACAGCTCTTAAACGCGATTAATAACTTGTTAAACAACAAACTTGGATTTTTTGGATGTTAGAGAAGAAGAGCAGCAATGGAGTATATATAGCACCCCAATACAACAGCTAGAAATAAGTAAAAGACCAAAAAGTCCATTTGAAAAACTAGCCGTTAGGCTCATTTTGACCACTTGTTGGTCGACCGGTCCGGTCGACCGGAAAGCACAAACAACTCAAAAAACAGGGTTTAGAGCTGGCGGTCGACCGACGGAATTTTCGGTCGACCGGAAATTCTCTCGGTCGACCGGTGCGGTCGACCGAAAGGCTCTCTGGAACTATGCTAAGAAAAAGAACAATTGTCGGTCGACCGTACCGGTCGACCGAAATCTGATATACACAAATTGACAGGTTTTGGGCAGTTTTGAAAATTCGTTAAAAATATCAAATCACATCCAAAAATAGTGAAACTTTGGGGAAAGTTTCTAAATGATGAAATGAACATGTTTGAAAAAGAATTTCTGGAAAATTAATTTTCGTTTGTGAAAACTACCTGTTTTTGAAGAATGCTTAGAAAACCTGTAATTTTTATGAAAGTGAACTTTGATATAGGACTTGTAAATATTCATATATATATTGTGCATATAATATATGTATATAGTGAAGTATGAAGGAGCTGTAAACATGAGATAAAGTATTTTAACAACGTTTAATGAAAAATCATCTATATGATAGAAAACGTCAAAAATCGTGTTAAGTGTATATATTGAGCTTAGATATAATCATACTATATATGTAAGTAAACTAACATATACCTAGGTAAATCCACGCAAATGAACTTGAATCTTTAACGCTTGATTAACGCGTGTTGAAATACCTGAAAAAAGAACATAAACACAAAACACTAGAAAACTTATTAGTAATAAATTGTTTGTCAAATCATCATCAAAACTATAGGGTCAACAATCTCCCCCTTTTTGATGATGGCAAACAATTTATACATGAATATGAAATATATACTGATAATCCACATATAAGCCAAGAACAAGAGTAAATCATAACAAGACCATATATATATAAAAGAATCAATTTGTAAGCTATATGTGGTATTTTCTCCCCCTTTGACAACATCAAAAAGGGAAAAATGAAAGATAGGAGCAATACTCCCCCTGCTTATAAGCATAGATAAAAAATAAAGAATTGTATGTCAAAGGCTCCCCCTGTCAAATAGACTAAGTGACATTTATTGAACATACATACAGGAGCTAAACCAACAACTTTTCATCAAACATATGCATAAATAATACAAGTAATTCAAATTCTATAAACAAAAACATGATTATAGTCTTAACCATGCATTGATCATAACATGATAAACAAAACATCATTTTAGCATCATAGATTTGCATAAATATACAAAACCTAAACAGTGCAAAGAACTCATGACAGGCAACAAATATTTACCGCACATCAAATTATGAATGTTGTTTCAACAATGCATTGATTTATAAAAGAAATAAATTAAACACAATAGGCCACAAAATATCACATAAGCATTAGAAGCAATATAGTTTTGCACTAACCATGGATTTGTCCACAAGATAAAAAATCACACAAAACCATACATAGTTTGTTCCACAAAGTATCATAGAGTTATTACACTCAAATAAAACAGAGTTATCAAATCAATCATCTCCAAAAGAGAACATTAAAAAAAAACAAAAATAACCATCACATAGAGAAACTCAAGTCAGTCACCACCAGCACCATCACCACCATCATCATCACCATCACCTCCAGAATCAGAAGAGCCTGATCCATCAGCAGAATCCTCACCAGAATTAGACTCAGAATTAGAAGGGATCCCGAGAGACTGACGCTGAAATGAAAGAATAGTATCACCCAATCCAGGTTACGCTGAAATGAAGGAATAGTATCCCTAAAACAAAATCCAGGTTTTGAAAATCCGACGCACATGCACCACGACCGCCGCCGTAAACTTCGTCATCCTCCTCTTGCTCATCACCTCCTCCTGCTCATCCTCGCCGTCACCGGCGTCTCTCCACGTGTCACGTTCCCGGCCATCCGCGTGGAGCTCAACATGACCCTCGACCTCCTCATCAAAAACCCTAACTATGCTTCGTTCTCTCCAGCTTTACTATGGTGGGGCCCAGGTTGGGGAGGCTGATGTGGATCCTGGGAGGATACCGGTGCGCGGGGCGATGCTCGTGACGGCGAGGTTGACGGCAGAGGGGGCAATCTCATCGCGGAGGTGGGGACCCTGCTGAGGGACATGATGACGGCCGCCATCGGGGAAAGGGACGGAGGAACCCTTTCAAATCATCACAGATAAAGAAAGAAAAAGAGAGAGAAAGGGTATTATGGTCTTCAAATTTTAATACTCTTGGTCTTTGTGTTTTGGGGGCTCAGTGCATATTTGTTACGAATTTGGGGGTTTTGAGAGCGTTGAAAAAGTCTTGGGAGGGGGAAGCTTGTTTTCATTAGTTTTGGGGGCTGGAAGCATTTTTCCCTTTTTTTTTTATTTTTTTTTCATAAAATATACGCAAGTTGCGTGCTTATATGGCGTCCTTATCAAATGCTCTTTTGATATTTAAATATGAATGTGTCCTATATTGCATTGATAATTGAGAGGATTCGATGTGAGGATCTAGTAGACGCTGAGCTGCTGTTATTATAAGCTCGCTCACTTTTAATAGTGCTTTTCTAATTTGGATGATATATTCAGATTGGTGCCCATCTTTTCTTGCCGTACTTTTGAAATCCAAAACATACGCATTTTATTAGTTGCTATTCTCTTGTCACTCTGCTCTGGTGCCATCTGCCTACCTACCTACCTAATTTATAATTTCTAATTTGTCATGCCCCTTTTTATGTTCTTCAATCCAATTACTAAAGAATGCCAAAAAAGTGTAACAATACTACAGGTCATTTTATTAATAAAAATTTAAAAATTAGTATTAGATAAACAAATACTCGATTTTAAGCGAATAGAAAATATAGATCATTTTATAATTTTAGATAAACAAGTACTCGATTCGCAGTACAACTACTTCGGCCACCGATGAAACACCGCACCTAAATTCGAAGATGTATTTTCTTTCATAAAAGTACGGATGTCCAAACGAAGGTTTGAGCTTAATTTCTCGCTGCAAATGCTACTTGCAATATTTTATACCAATCAGCACCTCCTTGGACTCGTTAGAAAACCAACAAAATGTTAGGGATACAACTCTAAATCTAAAGAATACTAAAACGTGTGACCTCATAGTCCTAGTTGGTAGTCCGTAGCGTCAAACTTCAAACCGTAGGGAGTTAACCAAAAATATCATTAATACGCTTCCAATCTGTAACGCAATAGATAATGTATTATTATTTATTATACATATAGGTACAGTACCCCCAGGGGCCTAAATAAGAGACGCACGTGAAAGGGGGGCAGATCTCCGTCACCTCCTCCTCCTCCTCTCTCTCTCTCTCTCTCGTGTAAATCTTCCGCATCCTAATTCCCTTTTCTTCCTCCTTTCTATGTCGTCGGCGGCGATCCGAGAGAACACGAGATCGCGGTCCCTTTCAAGAAACGGGGAAGGAAACGACTCTCTTGATATCTGAAGCCTAGATATTTTCAAGAAGAAGAAGAAGAAGAAGAAGTAGGTTGCTGGCGTTTCTGAAGTTCGTTAGGTTCGAGTGAGTTGGGGGCGATCGATCGAACGAGGGGGGGCTGAGAGAGAGAGAGAGAGAGAGAGGGAGACGAGCAAGAAAAGGAAACGGAGGTCTGCTGTATGTCAGATCGAAGTGGAGAGGGGGAATTAAACTACGGAGGATTCAGTGAGCTCGCAAACCCCCTACAATGGCCACAACTGCGGAAAAAGCGACGCCTTGCTGCTCCCCTACCAAGCCCGACGCCGTAGTCTCCGCCAAGGGGAAGAAGAATCATCTTGATTCTCGGGTGGTCGAAGAATGGAACCGTCATCGGCCCTGTCGACGATCTTCAAGATCCCCCTGCGAAGGCTTCGTCTAAGGGTATACAGATGCTCAACCTCTGATCTTTATCTATATGTGTTTATGTTTTTTTTTTCCTCCTCCATTCGATTTAAAGAAGGATGAATTTAGGAACACGCGTGATATTTATGTCTCCGTGGTGGAAATCTTTTTACACGACTCGCGGTATGTTATTTGCAGCGGCTAGGTTGGTTGATATAATATTAAGTTCAATATGGGAAGTGTTCATAGTTTAAACAACGTAGTGATTGAGAAGTACGTGAGAAGCGTCAATTATGCTGGTTTTTGATACCACAAAATCAAAGATTTTGAATGTCTTGGTAGAAACTGGGCAAAAGTGAGATGGTGTACATGAAAGCTGATGAGGAAAAAAAAAGGGTTCTCGAAGGTTGACAGTTGAACCAGATCAGAGGGAATGCGAAAAGAAAGATTGCATGGAAACAAAGAGAAACTATTTCCTTCTCCTAATCCTTGAGAGGAGATCTGCATTTCAGAAAATTGAGGAGAAAATCCAACCACTGTTTCTGATAATAAATAAAGCTATTCGTTAAACCTTGAAACATTATGTTTGGTAATCTAAGTTCAACGACAGCTTGACTCTACCTTCTATCGTATATGTTTTTCTGTTTACTTGATATTCTTCTAAATATGCATGCCCAAGTCACTGCTTTAATTTTGGTTGTTCGGTTATTTGCATTGGATTCTATCTAGATCATCTCTGCCTCTTCTTCTGTCATGAATACTAGGCTCTCTGCTGTCTAGCTAAATTTATGTGGCTAATCCTTCTGTGAATAGTATGTTTCCTACTCTCTGATGTTCATATGTTTCTTGATAGTTACTTAGCATTTGGATATATTTCTATTTTATGTTTATGTTTAGGTTTATCACTTATTTTTTTGGTTTATTTCTTATTTTTGTTTGGGAAATTGCAGGTATCCCGGTAATGATGAGGGCTCAATCAAGCCACCCTTTAGATCCATTATCTGCTGCTGAAATCTCTGTGGCAGTAGCGACCGTCAGGGCTGCTGGGGCGACCCCCGAGGTTGCATCATATCGCTTTTTGTTTTTTTTTCCTTTTGCATAATTGGCTTATGGATAGCTTATTATGATTTTATATCGATAGAGATGTTAGCAGTGAATCCATTATTGATTTTGTTAGTTTCCTTCAGGTGAGAGATAGCATGCGGTTTGTTGAGGTGGTTCTATTGGAGCCTGAAAAAAGTATTGTTGCACTTGCTGATGCATATTTTTTCCCTCCCTTCCAACCGTCACTAGTACCCAGAACTAAAGGTGGACCCATTATTCCAAGCAAACTTCCGCCGAGGAGGGCTAGGCTTGTTGTCTATAACAAACGTTCAAATGAGACAAGCATTTGGATTGTAGAACTCACTGAAGTACATGCAGCGACTCGTGGTGGTCATCATAGGGGAAAGGTCATTTCATCAGAAGTAGTGCCGGATGTACAACCACCTATGGTACGGTTATTATTTGTTTGATGTCAAGTGTTCGGAACAAATATATTAATGACGTTGTTACTTCATTCATATCAGCCACTTCGATGTATCTTTTTGTTGATAAGAATGTAGATGATGGCACGTGGACTAAAGTTAATAAAAATATTTAAGTTTCCGCTTGTTTCTTAAACGTGCAGGATGCTGTGGAATATGCGGAATGTGAAGCTGTGGTCAAAGATTATCCTCCATTCCGTGAAGCAATGAAACGACGAGGCATTGAGGATATGGATCTTGTGATGGTAGATGCCTGGTAAGCTTGCTTTCAGTCATTACACATTGCTTTTCATTTGACCATTTATGCTGTAAAAATGCTCCGTGAAGTTACTTACTCATTTTCTTTTAGACTTTACTAATATTACCAGCGTTTAATTTCTGCAGGTGTGTTGGTTATCACAGTGAAAAAGATGCTCCCAGTCGGAGACTTGCTAAACCACTGATTTTTTGTAGAACAGAGAGTGATTGTCCCATGGAAAATGGTTATGCACGCCCTGTTGAAGGAATTTATGTGCTTGTTGATATCCAGAATGTAGTGATCATTGAGTTTGAAGACAGGAAACTCGTTCCTCTACCTCCAGCAGATCCGCTAAGAAACTATACTCCAGGAGAAACAAGAGGAGGTGTTGATCGTAGTGATGTGAAGCCTCTCCAAATTATTCAGCCCGATGGCCCAAGTTTCCGTGTTAACGGTCACTTTGTTGAATGGCAAAAGGTACAATTTCTGTCTTCCTGACAGCTTTTTAGTATCCACCTTCCCCCTTTTCTCCCTTCTCTTTTCCTCTCCTCTTCCTTATACCAGTTTCTTCTATCCTATAAGCTTTGTATTAGTATACGGAAAAAAATATTGCAATTTGCAAGAGTAACAGACCTCACAGTCAGAATTTTCACTAGTTGGACGTAGGGATGCAAAAACCAGAATTTTCACTAGTTGGACATAGGGATGCAAAACCATATCCGTATCTGCGGATATATCCGTAACCGTATCCTAACCCATTAGGATACGGATATGGTTACGTAAATATATAACTGGTAGGATATGATACGGATATGGTTATGTAGTGAAATATCCAGATCTGTGTCCAAACATCTGAGTATTTGTTGATCATACAGATGCAACTGTTTCAATCCTGAGATTAATGAATTCAGACTAATTTTGTGGCCAAGAGATCCAATCTTAATTTTTCAAATATAACAGACATATTAATGAACTCTCTTGTATCATTCAAACTATATTTTATTCGATATTATTTCGTTTTCTCATATCCATTTTCTATCCGTGTGTGTGTGTGTGTATTCAGCGAATATGGATGAGTAAGTTAGTTTTCCTTACCGAGGCATATTCGTATCCGTATCCGTATCCACCGTATCCGTGATTGACAAGCGGATATGTATATGGTAAGTACCATATCCGAACCGCATCCGGACCGTTTGCACCCTAGATATTTATTTAGCACGAACTGCTTGTATGGCAATTGTCTTAATCAACTCTGTGAATGAAATCTGAACCTTATATATGAATGTATTATTTGTATGCAGTTTTGCAAGCTGCAAGCCTTCAGGAGTATATGGTTCTTGGGGCTAGCTTCAATCCTCTAAACAGTACTTAGGGATTTTATTTTTTAAACACATTTTTTAATATTCTTAATGGCATGTATGCAGAAGTTTAGGTTCATCAAAAAATAAATATACAAAAACAAGGGACGGACTCACCAACGCATGTGAATACATGTTTTCATCATCCTGGAAATAAAACCCGTGATGTAACATTTATCTTCCACTTTTTAGTTAGTTTATGGCAGACAAAATCCTAATAAGACAACCGTATTTGTTCAATTTATCTATTTGAACTTGGGTGCCTTAGGACAAGTATGTACACTTTTAATACTTTTAAGGGTTTTTATGTAAAAGTTCCATCTCTGTATCAACTGAAAATAGGAAGGAGGGGTTGACGTTTTCTCCTCTTTTCCTGATTCTCTCTCTCATTCTAAACCTTAACCCTAACTAATAACCTTAACATTAATTAACCGCCACCTACCTTAACTGCCCTCAATCTCACCTCTGATAAAAGCACTTTCAGCCTCCTGATGATTCTTCTAAATAGGATGATGTGATCCATAACGTAATCTAAAGGGTTATAACTTTTGTGTATGGGTGTTGAACATACATATGGTGGTGTGCAACCAACCACTCAATAATACATGGTGCATCAACTGAATATTCACTCCTTCCATGATGATATTTATCTCCTAATGCATTTATGATGAAACATCTTTGTAGGCTTTTTACCCCTGCATCAAGTGGTAGCAATGAGAATGACATTTTAACGATAGAACAAATTAACCCCTCTGGTGCATGGGTAAAATTTCTTCAATATATGATTTCTCTTTTATATGCATGAACATGTTGATGAATGAGATGATCCATATTATTTTTGGAAGGGGAAATGTGTTAGATTTCTTAAATTGGTAACTCATATTCCTTTTTCTCTCACAAACTTGACCATGCTTATATCTCTTGCTACTTCTGGATGGACTGGGGGATAAAATCCTTTTCTTCAAAGTCAATGATAGATCATTCAAATGAAAAAGTCTACTTCAATAAAGTTGATCTACCTTATCTTGAATGCTTAAAAAGTGAAATAATATTCAAGTAAAGTTGAGTTTTTGGCCTATGCATAAGGGACATTTCGGTGCATGAAACTCCGGCTATGCGCAGGTCTGGGAAGGGATTGAACCACTTTGGGTCTACTGAATGCAGCCTTATCTTGCATTTTTCACAAGAAGCTGTTTCCACGACTCGAACCTGTGACCTTCTTAAGGTCACACGGCGACAACCCTTACTTTTACACCCATGCTCCCCTTCTATTTTGTATACATAAACACAAAATGGATGGTAGAAAGCAGCATGTGGTTTAAATTTATGATTTCAAGCATTCAAAATTTTGATTCTGACCTTTCAGACCAATTTACTTAAAAGCCCTTGCACACAAAATCTTGATTGCTTTCAACCAATCTAGACCATAGACCTAAAAATCAAGCTATTTTGACCACTCATTGGGTGCGTACTTGATGCATAGACCCAAAAAAAGGAAATTTGATGTTCAGAAACTCTACACGATATAGGTTTTTTTGAACGGAGTGTATCTCATCTTTTTTTAATTGAACTTAAATGTGATATCATTTATCTAGATCCTTTTCCTTTCCAAAGGAGCCAAGTTTCTAGTGGGTAACTAAGCTATTTATGTATGCTTACCTCAAATGCATGGTTGTGCAATAAAATTGCGCCATCCAATCCATTTATTTGACAGACATGTTTTCAACGTTCTATAAATGAAAATTGATGTTTTTTCTGAAGACTTCTAAGTTATGGAATTGTAAGAATTCTTTAAAATATTATTAAAAAACCATTAATTTAGCAGTTATTGATGCATTGGTGAAAAGGCCTTCATATTACATTTTTTCCCTTATACAGCACATAAAACGTGTAGACATTATATGTATGCAATAAGTTGGCTACTTTTATGCAATGGTGTACTTTGGTAGTTGGATATAATGAAGATAGTTTGTTCTTCATGGTTTTGTAACTGCTCATGCACGATCGTACATCTGTGCAAATGGTAGTGAAGCTATTGGGTACAGCTGTGGGTACATGATGAATGGGGAACTGAAAGAAAACCTGAGATTGTATATTTCCTCTAAATCTGTTTGTCTACTAAGCCTGCACTGAAGTAGAAACTTTCGTTCTTGTCACTGAACAGTGGAATTTTCGAGTTGGTTTCACACCTAGAGAGGGACTGGTAATCTATTCTGTGGCATATATTGATGGTAGCCGCGGTCGCAGACCCGTGGCCCATAGACTGAGCTTTGTCGAGATGGTAGTGCCTTACGGAGATCCAAACGAACCACATTACCGTAAAAATGCATTTGATGCTGGGGAAGATGGATTGGGAAAGAATTCACATTCTCTTAAGAAGGTTAACTTTTTTCCTTTTTTGGCTCTATTTTTCCTTCGAGTACTGCTTGGATTGTTGAATAACTTCCTCTATATAGGGGTGTGACTGTCTAGGCTACATCAAATATTTCGATGCACATTTCACGAACTACACGGGGGGTGTAGAGACTATTGAAAATTGTGTTTGCTTGCATGAGGAGGATCATGGAATATTGTGGAAGCATCAAGATTGGAGAACTGGACTAGCAGAAGTACGGCGATCAAGAAGGCTTACGGTTTCATTTATTTGTACTGTGGCTAACTATGAGTATGGCTTTTTCTGGCACTTCTACCAGGTAATTCTGAAAACTTCTTATGTTGCTCTAGTAGTTAAAATCTATGGATGTTTTTGTTCGTTCTGTTTATCTTATTCTTTTTCTCTTGCCTTTTTTTGTTTAGGCAGAGCGGAAAAAGGCCCCATAGCCTTCTCGTAATATATATATATAATATATATATATATATATATACTATTAGTATATATGAAGGCCAAAAAATGAGTTATACTTGCCGTACCAAGCCACAAATTTTGTGCCTGGTAGCCTGCAGGATGTCTCATTCCCATCCACTCATTGCAATTGGGCGGACACATTCAACCCTATACCGTGAAGGATGGCTGCCCCCCATTTGCACCCATGAGCTGGAGGCAGTAATATGCCACCTCACTACCAAGCACAAAATTTGTGCCTTGAGTACCGAAGCCATACCCATTATGTCCTCCTATATATAATACTATAAATAGTATATAATATATATATATATAGATATATAATAGCTATAGCAAGAGAGGAGCAGAGGAGAGCAAAACTTTGTGTCAACTTAAAGTGCCGATAGCAAAAAGCTATGCTCACCAAATTATTTACAGCAGTTGCATGTTAGCCTAGCCGCCGCCGATCCGAATGAAAGATATGAAGAGGGTTTTCTTATACGCTATATAAATGACGGTGAAGCTAAAAAAGTTTGTAACGCCGCTGGCACATTCCACTTAACCCGTTGCCAGTCAAGTATAACTATATAGTAATACTATATATACTAACTATTATAATATATATACTATATATATATATATATATATATACTATATATATACATTAATATATATATATATATTATATATATGTTGAAATCACTGTATAATGATCATACAGCCCTCTTTATTTTCTTATCTTATGTAGTTATACTAGAATATACGATAAAAGAGTTCCTTCACTTGCAGTCTTAAGTGTAAGCTTTTGAATGCTTATTATGTATCTTCGTTTAGTAGGCAACAGTTATGTGGTTTCTTGTCTGCATCTAGTTGTGTTGACCTTCCCTGAATACTTCCTCCATAATACATTTGCTAGATTTATACATGCTCTCTTTGTTTCAACTTTTTCATGGTTGTCGAATTTTTTTTCCCAATGACATACCTCAATAATCAAACTCGTAGTTGCTAATATCGGTTGATTTTCAGTCCTTCACTTATTGTTGAGCCATTTCCTGTCATGTAGGGTTTCTATGGCGCCCATTAATGTAACTACAGGCCTAATGCAAAAATGATGACATGCTGTTTAAAAAGATGATTCAGGGTGTAGGATTGTTACTTATTTGTGATAACATGCTGTTTAAAAAAATGTCGAGGTATAGAAAAATTCGGCAGAAGCAAGATTTTATGCGACCTGATACTGATAGATATTCATTTGTGGTTAGTCTATCGTATATTACACTTAGTCTGCACTGCAGAGATATCTCAGCTATGTTTTTGATATACTACTACTTATTATCTTGGTCTACTTGCATGCTATTACATGTACGAATCCTGAGTTAGTTGATTTCTGTCCTTTGGGATGTGTGTTGCCTAATTGACGATGCACTTGCCATATGGTTATAGGATGGTAAAATTGAAGCAGAAGTGAAACTTACTGGAATTCTCAGCCTGGGAGCATTGAATCCGGGTGAATCACGAAAATATGGTACGACCATTGCTCCAGGTTTATATGCACCTGTCCATCAACATTTCTTTGTTGCACGCATGGACATGGCTGTTGACTGTAAACCTAATGAAACCTTCAATCAGGTAACGTGACTTAAATTTATATCCTAATTCCTGCCTTATATTTTGTCTTTATTATAATTTCTTAATCTAAGTTTTCCCTCCCCATCATTTTGCTTGCTCAGTCATTCAGTATTACTTTGGATTGTGAACCTAATGGTGCAGCCTTCTATATTTTCAATAAAACTTGTTAATGGAGCTGTAATTTCCTCTGTGTAGGTGGTTGAGGTGAATGTAAAAGTTGAAGAACCAGGGCAAAATAACATTCACAACAATGCATTTTATGCTGAAGAAAAGCTTCTCAGGTCTGAGCTGCAAGCAATGCGTGATTGTGACCCCTTTACTGCACGACATTGGATTGTAAGCACCATCATTCTTGTTTTCTTATGTTAACGTATTGTTCATTTTCTCATTGTTTATTATTTCTTCTTTGTTCTTTTCTTTATTAAATCTTTTTGAGGCTATGTACTTCAACATCAATTTCCAGTGGATTTTGTTTCCTGCAATTTGCTCCATGGTAAATGAGACTTCATACATCAGAAATAAGTGTTAAAGAGGTTCAGCTGAGACTCAACTTTTGTGATTAAAAATGATGTTGTTTGAAATTATGTCACTCAAAAATGACTTATGCTAGTAGATTTTTCTAATTCATGACTCAATGAGATGGCTTACAAGCAAAGGCATACTGATCCTTTCAGTAGTAAATTTTCCAATAATGGCCCTGGAATACAACTTGTGACTGTATGAAGTGTCTTCAAGTTAGATAGAGCCCTATAGCAGGTCACTGAAGATATTGAGAATTTTATTGGGCATCATGTAGACACATAAGTTTGCATTAGTTTTAGGGTTTTAATGCAGTAAATGAAACTTTGTGAAATTTATAGTTCCTGATATCTCTCATTGCAGAAAAGAAAAGAAAAGAGGAGAAAAACACTTTTAATCTCTTTTAGATTTAATATAAAATTGTAACCCTCAATTCTCACCACAACTTCGGAGTTTTGGTGTAGCTAGTATAGTGCATGTGGGTTGCATGTGGATGCCTTTGTTTTATGTTTTGAATTATTTTCGTCAACATGGAATATTGACATGACTCGATAGAAAAGATATAGATTAGAAGTAAATAATCGGAAATAGATTTTTAGTGTGTACTTGGAATTGTACGAAACTTTAAATGAGTACAAGCAATTTAGTAATAAGAGGTGCTATTTATTCTCTTCTTTTTCCAGTGATAAAGGAATATATTTTCATTAGTATGCTTCAGTTATTAACGCCAGAGCCTTGTCTCCCTTCCAGTGTGTCTTTTAGTACTCTACATCGTCCTCGTTTATGCTCTCTAATATAATCATTTTTATGGAATCAATCTCTTTTATTTGTTCATATTATGAGGTTCTTCATGATTAGTTGGAAAACATGAAAAGTATGATTTTGGCTAATAAAACAAAAGTAAAGAAATGATTTCACAATATTTACATCTTCAGATATTTTAAATATTTTATTTGAAACTATTTCTGCTAGATTATTTAAAAGGACTATAATAGTTAAAACTTAAATTAATTATAAATAAAAAATAGTCGTGGTATGTTGAATACATTCAATACATTGACCACTTGTTGTTTGGAAAAAATATTTTAATAATATTTTATGTATACTTGTATAGTGCGCCTACATTGCATGTGGACTTCCTTGTTTTTTAGTTCTAAATCTATGTAAGTTATGTAATTTATTGAAAGGTTTGATTTTGGATGCAATTATCACATATCTTAGCTTATTTGCAAATTTCTCATCATTAAAATCGAAGAATAAATATAATTTTTATGAGGTTCATTTTTGAAGTTTATAATGTTAATCTGTACATTTATAAAGTTTCATATGAAGTTATGAAATTTCAGAGATCTTTATGTAAATTTTAGAGTTTATTCTGTAAAAACTATAAAGTTTTAGGGTTGTTTGTGCAAATTTTAGCGTGTACTTGTAAATTTTACAAATTTCTGGTGTTTTTATAAAACCTTGGAACTTTTTTATAGAAGTTTGTAAATTTTGGAATACCTAAAATATACAATTCTTTTAACTCTATACTTTAAAACCTAAAATACACAATTCTTTTAGCTTTATGATTTAAGATAATGGAATCAATAAATTTAATAGACTCTTAGGGATTTATATGCAAATTTGCAATAAAGATTTATTGATTGATGGGTTGATTTTCTAGTTGAATGTTGAAGTTTTTTTCTTTTTCACTTTTTTTTTGTTCTAAGAGTAGATAATGGCACATATGTTGCATTTCATTCAAGAAACAAATTAATGAAGTCTAAGATACCCTTTTCTTGATTAATGAAACAAATTAATGAAGTCTAAAACACTTGTCAAACACTTCTTGAATGTATATCTTACACTTCACAATGCTCACAGACATTTCTTGAAACTCGTTAGACATAGTTCGGGTTCATTTCAACCCATACCCAAGTTCAAAACAGTGATTTTAAAGGGTCGTTTTGAGTGTCTAGTTCAAATCCGAGTAGCTTCCAATTTATAATAATAAACATAATAAAAGAAACTAAAAAATAAGAATTCTAATTCTAGTAACACATGAATTGAAAAACAATAATAATCTCATGTAAATTATTAATCTCAATATACATATGTAGTCGTGTCCCCCCACACTACATTTTACAATTTTGCCATGTCCCATACACGTACCCACACCCATACCTGTACCTGTATCCGTATTCATGCAACTTAGGATGTAACATAAATGTTGCATATTTAGAAGAAGTCCCTTCATATGTTCTTATATGTACGAACTTTAATCCGACAAATCACAATGTTTTAGTGGATCCTTACCATTAAATGGAGTACTTATTTTTGCCTTAATTGGCCAAATTGTTTTAGTGATGACACATATTAATTTTCTTTATAGTGCACAAAAGATAAAGATGTTGATGACTCATTTTAGTGTTTTTTGTAACGTAAATATAGGTAAGGAAATTTTTGTTCTAGTTGATTATCTCTCTCGAAAACATTCCTTTAGATTCTCAAATAAACGTGAAGAAAAATAAAGGCAAATTAAAAATACTAATAAGAACAAAAATAATAAGTAATTATCCCATCTTACAATATGAATTCACAAATAACTAAATAAACGTTAGGAGAATTTTCATGACATACTAACTGCAAGGGCTCAACAAACAAATCCACCCTATACATCAATTACCCTCTAAATCAAGTATTGAATTCCATCCGCAAAGGAGATGAATTTGATTGTTGCGGGTTGTTTGAGTGGTAGGTTGGACTCCTTTCTTCCGCATCTAAATTGATCATTAATAGATTTTTGGTTGGAGAAATTTGATTAGTTGTTGTTATTTATAGTGATTTGGTGGGAAAGAAATAGTTGTAACATTTTTTCATAATTAGTTGTAATATTTAGTGTGAATAGCTAGTGGATGAAAGTTATGAATAGGTGGTTAAATGAAATATTGATGGTAATCAATAAGGAGGTTATGAAAATTTGAGTATGTATATGTCTTTGTATGAATGGATGTATGATAAATGGGGAGGTTGTAGAAAATTGAGTATATATATGTGTTTTCATCTATGGTTCATGTATGCATGTATGTCTTTTTTGAGAGCATTTTTGGAAGAAATTTTCTTTTTTAACATCCTAGACATTTTTATAATAGTATGAGATGGTTAGCGATTTTAAGGTGGTATTAGAGAAAGTCAGGTTCAGATCTCATTGGCCATAGATTTAAAGCGGAATTTCTAAAAATTGAGACCATTGTGTTAGTCCAGGTTTTGGCCCATAAAAAAAAGGGTGCTCAACCTGCACGGACAATGTTAGAATAGAAAAAAATATAACCCGTCAACCCACACCTTTACTTTGGTGTGGTGTAATGGTTAGTGGGACTTTAGGAATCTCCAAAGGAAGTCTCTAATGTGCAACATGTTATTTTAATTTAAATTGACATCATTTTGAAATTTACTAGTGTGATTCAAACTACAGCTATTTTTTTCTGTGGAGAACTGGGAGAACCCTTTTAAAATGTGCCATTGATAACCTGACCAAATTCTGGTAGTTATGTCCAAAGGAGGTGAATGAGCTCAAACCTTTGAGAGTGCAGTGCGGAGAGGGCATTCTTTCTTCAGAGTTATGGTACTTTACAGTGACAAAATCTAGCACCTGTTGGGGCACACATGCATTTAGTTTATCTATTCTTGATAGTGTTGTTTCCTTATATTGCCTACTGATGAGACAAGCTGTCTTTGACGGCAAGGCTCCTAGAGTTTAGCCCTAGACCTTGTAGTTGTATGCTATGCTACGTTAGGTTGAATTGTCCTTCTGTTATAGTCGAGATGTAGTTTATTTTTGGCACTCATAATTTTGTTGTCCCCTATGAATTTATATGGGCAGCCAATGTATTTCTACACATTTTGACAGCTGTCAACTGTCGTTTGGACATATGAATTGCCAAGCTTATTTGCTCAGAGATAAATTTAAGTAACATGTTGGTATGGACTATATAACCAGATAAATAAATGTAAATTCTTTGATAGATCTATTTGTGTTCTATTCACTGAATAATTGTTTTATTTCATTTAAATTATTAAAGTTATCATCCGCTGAAAGATGCCTTAAGACTGATGCCATTCTACTTGAAAACTTAAAACTCATTGCCTTTTAGACGTGACCTGAAAGAGATTTTGTGATAACCTTTTATTTTAATTCAAAGCGGTATATTCTTTATAGAACTGTAGTATGAATCAGGTTGCTACTGTTCTAAACATTATAATAAAAATTCCATTTGAAATTTGTGCACTCTGTTTTTCACAGGTAAGGAACACAAGAACTGTCAATCGGACAGGGCAACTCACAGGCTACAAGCTTGTACCTGGTGCAAATTGTCTACCTTTAGCTGGTCCAGAGGCAAAGTTTCTAAGAAGGGCAGCCTTCCTGAAGCACAATCTTTGGGTCACTCCATATAAACGTGATGAGATGTACCCAGGAGGAGAGTTTCCAAACCAAAATCCACGTGTAAATGAAGGATTAGCTACATGGGTTAAGAAAAACAGGCCCATTGAGGAAACCAATGTAGTTCTTTGGTTAGTTTCACATTCTTTATCAGCTATTATTTTAACCATAATATTTAAAGAGGTGTCATTAATGTTTGAATTAATGTTTATAAGCTAATTTCAGTCTTCTTGGAATGTGATGATTTAGTAAAATCTCATATTCTTGGCAACTTTAGTTAACTCTGTATATATGTGCTTCCTTTAGCAAAATTTATTGATGAATTATGTGCTTTGCTTTATACCTGGCATGAATGTAACATATAAAACAGTTAGTGTCATACTAACCTTGTGCTAAAGTCAAAACATTGTTATGTGGAATTAAGTGTAAAATAAGACTATGAAATATTGGATTAGATCAATATATAAAAAGTGCGAGGACTATAATAGCTTGACCATTAATTTTGCACACTTAAAATTACATTGTTTCAGATCCTAAAAAATGTTCTGTTAAATTATGTGCTCGTTCAAATAGATAAACTAGTTTAGTACAATGACATGTAGATGCACAGGTCCATGTCGTTGTGTCATATGACTCAGCTAATCTAACAGGCATCAGATAATGCCTTATATCCCTGCTTTTCACATCCAGAAATTGTAACACAAACCCAATCGTATAAAAATTAGATTCTGAAATTACTATTGCTCCAAACTTGATGAGAATCAAATAGAATGTGACCGTGGCTTTCTTCTGAGGTGAAAAGTGAGTGATGCAAGCATTACATATCATTGCTTACATACTAACAGCTGGCTACATTATTTGTGATTTGTTTTTATTTTTGTTTTTGTTTTTGTTTTGTTTTTGTTGTCATATTACTTCATTATAATTATAATTATTGAACTCATGTTTTTTTCAGCTTGAGATAACAATCTATGTTCTGCTCTTTTTTAATGCCCTAATTATTTCAGGTATGTTTTTGGAGTTACTCATATTCCTCGCTTGGAAGATTGGCCTGTTATGCCTGTGGAGCGCATAGGCTTCATGCTTATGGTATTTTTTTCTGATCCTTTCATGTTTTCATTTATAAGTTACGATTGGTTTCCTTACTGAGTTGATTGTATTATACAAATTGGTCATATGTGTGCATAGTAACAATCTTCCCAGTTTTGATGATTTGTATATTTAAGAATATATTTCTTTATTCATATATTCTACCAGTTAATGGTTGGGAGTTTTTAAAATTCAGGAAATAGTCATAAATTCATAATACATGTAGATATATGTAGGATATAGTTGATAAAAAGCACAATTATATTGTTAAAAGCTATAAATGCAGAAACAGTAATTGGAGAGCAAAGCGGTATTTTGATATAAAAGCAGTTAGTTCACGGCTAGCGACAACAAAGCGGTGTTTTGATATAAAAGCAGTTACTTCACGGCCAGCGACAACTTTTATGTCAAAAGCTACAAGATGGATGGAATGCAGTTTGGTTTTCCCCCCTTCCCTGGGTTAGTATATTGTTGTAGGCATGCAAAGTTAGTTGAAAATATAAGTCTGTATAAAGGAATAGTCAGAAGACATGGAAATATATGTCGGAGATAGTTGCTAAAAGCAAAATTATATAGTTAAAGAAATAAGTTGTTCAATTGGAGTACAAATCAGTATGTCGATATAAAAGCAGTCACTTTGATACTAGCAATAACCTTATGACAAAAGTAACAATATGGATAGAAATGAAGTATTTTAGTGCTATGATTCCAGGCTGTGCATATAAGCAATATTTAAAGGCTAATGGCCTACATGAGCATGCATAGTTCTAACTCATATATCAAACCTGTACTAGTTTACCCAAAATTTACAGTTTTTTGCAATTAACAAGAACAGTAAGAGTTGGGGTCAGTAGGGGTGAAATGTTATTTTACTTTCTATAAGTTCGTGTCTATGTTTACCTTATTAACGATACATTGTTAGTCCAACTCAATATCTCTTTGCTAAAGTGGTACACCAATTGCATTAAATATGTATGATAACCTAGGATATTTTGGGTATCGTCTAAAAAGTGAAAGAATCAAATTGAAACTAATTGTGTTAAGCCATCTTTCATATAGATAGTTCTCCCAGAACTTCGATTCATAAAAATTGAAATACGTCTGTAGATAATAATTTAGTCTTGAAAAAGGGAAAAGGAGGGCATCGCCTATAATCATGTCTGGATTTTTGGGGAATTTTCCTTAACATTTCTGTGTGGTATGAATTCATTGGGATACTGGTATTTCAGGAAGTTTGTTATGAAAATAACTTACAAATGCTTTGCAGCATAAAGTTGATATTTTGCTAGGTAGCTTGGCAAACTGATATGTGAAGCTTATACTATTTTCAATAACATATATGCTTTTGCACTCTGGATTTGACTTGAAACTTACAATGATGTGAGAAAAACTATTACATAAGATCTAGACGATTATTGTTTCATTCAACCTATTTTAGTCACACAACTTTCTGAGTTCATATTCCCCTCTCTTGTGGATATAGTCGCTAACAATTGACCTCCTGGTATCTAGAACTTCTATGCTTTTGATTAGTGTCATCAGCACTCACAGCATTCTAGTATGCTGCAAACAAAATTAACTTTTTCCAGTGTTACTTGTACATGTGAAGTTAGCATTGAGTGTGATATATGCTAGAATGCGTAGCATGATCTGACAAAGGCATAACCGTGTCACAAAATGAACTCTTAACCTCTCCTGTCTTCCCCCTTTTTCCTTGGAAAAACACATACTGTGTGCACAAAATCGCTAAAATGTCAAGTGTTTTTACATAGATCATTATCTTTGTGTCCGAGTATTCTTGTGCTCATCATAGTAAAAAGCCTACACTTGATGTGTTTTTACATGCATTCTCATCTTTCTTATACGTCTCTTCTTCTCTTTTATACCGTACTAGGCATCCATGCCTATCTCTTTGTTTTTTCATCTCGGTTCTCATTTTCGCTTTACCAGCTTTATGACATAAAAATTCAATTTTGAGCCTTGATATTTTTTCCCTCTTTCTTTTTTTGGTTATTTTGATTTTTCTTGATTAGTTCTTTCTGAGTACAAGTAGTTCTGTTGTATATTTGATTTTTTCATAGGGGCCCAGGGAAAAAAAAACTTTGCACCCATGGTTGCGGTATTATGATGTTGTTGCTTGATCTTTAATTGTGTTTGCAAACGTATATATATTTTGTAGGGTAAATTTCCTTTCAGGGAATAACCACACTTCTCATTTATTTGATAAATATACAAGATATTTCATTTTCTGCTTCTGCTCTTGCTTCTTATTTGATATTTTCATGTACAATGGAATTCTCTTATAAATTAAAAACGACAAAGTTTGTGAAGCGATTTGCTTCAAGGCTTCTTGCCACCTTGTTTTTAGAAGATTGAATAATTCCCATATATATGCTTTAACTTTTAAATCATTACTCTATATTGCTCTCAAAAGGAAAAAAGGTTAGCCACTAATATTCCTAGACTGTTTGGATAGGATAAGTTAGGTACAATTCCTCTAGAGCAATTGACTTTCTGGTCAAATTGCTAAGTATGCAACTATTCAGATGTCCTGACTCGTGACTAGGGGCAGAAAAAGTTACTAGTCAAAATGGATCTATTGGTCATCACAGGAAAGAAACAACAGAGAATTTTACTAGTCGAAATGCATCTATGGGTCATTACAGGAAAGAAACAACAGTAAGGAAAAAGGATGTCGGTCATCATTCTTATTTCCCTCAGTTTCACCGTTTTTTTGCGAAAAAGAATTTTTTTAGGTATTAGACTGCCAAGGGAATGCCATTTAGATACATACCATGTTGTCATGTTGGTTGAAGAAGGATGTTTTAGCCCATTCATGCGTTCTTCTATTTGCACTACTTTAGTTGTCTGCTATATATTGGAATTTCAATCCTGTAGAATTGATAATCATGTTTTAGCTGGTGGAATCTTTGCAACTACATTTAAAATTTCAAAGAAGTTGGTCTATTAGTCTATATGATTTTGTTCCGGATGAGTCTCAGCCCCTGGTTATGAGCTCACTATCATAAGTAGTTACTTCCTGATCAACCAATGCTAAGTTTGACGCTCAAATTCAAAATTGAGCCAGATGACTGTTGATTTATACCTATATATCTGAGTGTTTGACTGTGTTTAAAAAAAATTATTTTGCAGCCTCACGGTTTCTTCAACTGCTCCCCGGCAGTTGATGTTCCTCCTAGTGCTAGTTCCAGTGCTGAATTGGAGCTGAAGGAGAATGTAGCCTCGAAGCCAATTCCAAGTAATTTGCTCGCAAAGCTCTGAAGCCTCTTTGTTTTCAGGGCGGTGCCTGTTTCAGTCCGAAACTGGAGCAAAGTTGGAAAAACCTGCACTACTGTAGTTGGATTTCCCTTCTAATAAACAATAATGTCGGTCTACTGTGTATTGTGCTTGTAATAAACCACTCGTTTATCTGAGTGCGAAAATAAACGGTATGTTGCATTGCTACTTGTTACTTGGTTATGTAATATTCCTTGCTATTAGTTTGCAACTTTTCTTTACCTAGTGATTCTGGTGCTAATGACCGGATGGTGTTTGTTTTGAATCCAGTGATTTTTGATGTGAACATTTCCTACCTGATGGAATCATATGGGTAATGAGTGGATGAGGATGTGACACATCACTACTAAGCACCAAATTTGTGCTTGGTACCAAGCATACCCATATTTCTCTCTCTCTCAACCTATATAATATACTATCAAATATAGTATAGATTTTATATATAATGATATATATATATATAGTATGAACCCGTCGTGTTTTGACCATTCGTGAGTCGTCCAAAATAATTCTATCATTCGAAAACCGTTAAAATTGCGGCGATGGGATGAAGGGTCAAAACACGACCGGTTCACCCCAAAATTTGGTGTGTTTAGGTTTAAAAGCTGTAAACAAGTTCAACGGGAGCAGATCGCTAAAAAAAATTAGAAGAATGATGGATTTTAGGCCGCGTCCTTAGGTGGGAGCCTAGGGTGTCACCTTAGATTCACTTTTCCATATATATATATATATATATTAATATATATATAATATATATATATATATATAGTAATATATTTAGTAGTATTATATCACGCCAAATTTTTACATTTATATAAAAATAATAGATACTGATAATATTATAAAAAGAAAATTGATATAATTTGGTGATCGAAATTGTTAGACATTGTGGAGAAAAATAATCGATACAAACTTGAAGATATGTACAATTAGAGCAAGTAGATTTTCATGATCAGTTTAGAGGAACATGATCCCGTAGCATACCCACCTAAACAAAAACCTAACATAGGTCTTTATTCTCAATAAATTGAAATAACAATTCTAATAAAATAGCGTCAAATTTAAGTAGGCAAGTTATTTCATCATACCTTAATTTTCAATTGTTTGGCAATGAGAGGGTTGTAACCAGAGAAACGACTTTCAAGGATTACATAATTAAAGAGTAAAACTCATCTTTGTATAGGTTGCAAGTAAAAGTTACTAGTATTTTAAACTATAACCTAAAGAATTATGACAAAAAATTATGACAAAATATAGGCTCTTTGGATTCCATAACAATTGTTTTAATTGCTCCTAAAATAAAGACTACAATTTAAATGTAACTCATGATTCAAATATGCATAATGCATGCACTAATGACATTTTAAGTTGACACATTATTTGCAAATGAAACATTAGTAGTACTAGTTTGACATATGTATGATATCAATTATCCATATGTTCTATATTTACTATAATATTTGTATTTATTATATTGAGCATGTGATTTATATGTATTGAATGAGATTGAGACTTTATATGCAATTAATTAAAGATAAAATTGGAGAATATCAAAATTATCAAAATCAGAGGGACAGAAAAGGAATTCAAAAGTTTTAACACTTGAATCCTCTTTTATATATGGTATATAAATAGATAGATATAGATATAGATATGGAGTAACTTTTGGAGGTCTAATAGAACATTAATTAAATTAGCCACATTCACTGTTATAAATAGTGGTAAATAGCCCCGCAATAGCGGCCTAATAGCGTTAGCGGTCCCTTCTCGCTACGCTATCGCCCAATAACGGTGATATATTGTGGAATATGCACTTTTCGTTCGCAAAAGCGGCTAATAGTGTGCCATAACGGTAAATAGTGGACGATTACATGTGGAATCTGCTTTTTGACTGCTATTTAAAAGCGGTTTGAGGTTTATTTTTTTAAAATTAAACCCAACCCTTGACCATTGCATTCCACTGTCTCCTGTGATTTTCGGCATACTCCCGTCACCTCTCATAGCCTCTGGCACCTTCCTCAGTACTTACTCTCACCTACTTCAGAGTGAGCTCCTCTTAGGGCAGCCCTCTCATCGCTCAGCTCTTCTTCTTGAAGATGATGACTCTTTAACTCCTCCATTCATCTTCGGTATTACGTGATGGTTACATGTCTATTTTATGTTTAGGATCTCTTTAAATCATCAAATATATAAGTACTTTTAGATTTTTTAGATTTTTCTTTAATCTTTTTTTTAGTATTTATACATATCTAAATTAGACCGCTATTTGACTTTACGTTTTTTATCGCTATTTTGTCACAATAGCCTCAAATAGCCTTAGCGATTGTTGATGTTAAATGATCACACAGTCAATAACATCCGCGGTTGGATAGGGGTGAGGTTGATGAGGGGCCAGTTCCTTTCCTGAATATCCGGTTCTGAGTTGGGTTGCTGAAAAGCCTACACATATAGAAATACGTGAGAGAACGGGGACTGGTTCCCCTGTGGTTCCTCCGACGATCAAGTCATCTAGTGAACTTGAGTGGGGAAAATAAAGAACTGTGAGAGTTCTTATGTGTGCAATATAATTTACAGATTATTCTGAGAAGATTAGATCTTCAGATCAGATAGTCAGGAATCAGAGATCAAGATCTAGATTAAAGTAGTTTATCCTCCTAAATGAAGGAATAGTACCTCTTATTTATAGTGGTGCCAGAAGAGCAGAACCGTCATTGCGGCCGAGCACAGGATGACGGTGAAAAAATATAGGCTGGCGGCTGAGCCAGCTCTTACTTTACAGGTGTCGGCTGGCGACTGGAGGAGAGATCACATCGATATTAAATAGGAAGTGATCGGAGGCATGATGGTGCTGACGTGGTCCGATGAGTCATGAAGACTATCGAGGCTAGAGGTATGATGGTGCCTGCCAAGCCTCAACTACGATGCTGACACGTTGCCAGTGGGGGATCCCGAGGCTGAAGTCCTTTAGCTTGGCCGAGAAGTAACATCTTTCGAGTCGTCATTGGGAGGCATCAAGTCAGCTTGTTGACTGGACTCGTTATGAGTCGTCTTCGACAAGAGGGGCGACAAGTACCGCCTTTCGAGTTGGCACAAGAGAATGTCGACTCAGGAGAGTAAGCTGAGTTATCGTCCTTGTTGGTCTTCAGCCACCAACTTGATTGAGGCATTGCATGAAGATGTACATATATCCGTTACTAGCAAATGATTGCACTTAGGTGATTGAGAACACCATAACAACGATGCCTCACCACTATGCGACGCCGCTATCGATAACCATGGCCACATTTATACTACTATATAATGTAAATAGTGGGGATAGGAAATGGATGAGAATTGAGAAGTGGACATTTCCTCCTTACCTAATGTATTTGAAAGGGTGTAATTGTAACTTTACGGGAGTAACTTTTTCTTTTTTTTCCTTCTAGAACTTTATATAATGTGGACATGAACTTATTATTAAAGTTCATTAATAACATATCCATTACATTGCATATTATAAAAGATAAAAATATGAAGTGATGAAGTTCATTTCTTAAAAAATAGATATAAATAAATACAATAAAAATAACAATTAGGATTTCAATATGCTCTAATGTAAATACTAGCGAAAGTGTACATCTAGATACTTAGACTAAAAATAATTAAAATAATAACTTGAATGAAATATGAAAAATAGCATCTTCTAAAGAACATTATCTAAGAAATTATGTCATTGCTCAAATTGAAATATTTATTATAGCTAATTTTGTATAAGATAAATAAAATATAACTTATTAAAAAACAAACAACATAAAAAAAAGTCTTGAAAATTTGATGACCCCCCTATAGAAGTGACCATCTATACAATATATTAAAGTAATACCTGAAATGCCACGTGTCAAAATTCTAGAGCGTTTGACACGTGTCAAAAATTTAGAGCATATCTATCTAACGTACTAAAACATGGCTTAAAGTTGCCACTTGGCAACTTCTAAGAACTTTGTCTCATTATCTTCTAATTATTAATTATAATTATTAATAATTTAATAATTAATCTTTTTTCGATCTCTTCATCCAAAAAAGTCCTCTAATATCATTCAAGTTCTCTGTGCATGTTCTAAAAAACAATTAGTTCCTCGATTCGTCTCTTTATCTTCTATGTATTAATTATATTTAATAATTTAATAATTAGCTTTTTATCTCTTTTTAGGCCCTCAAATATCATTCTAACTCTCTGTATATGTTCCAAAAAATGCCCTCTAATATCATTTTAAGAGCTTTGCCTCTTTATCCCCTAAATATTAATTATAATAATCAATAATTTAATAATTAATCATTTTCAATCTCTTCGCCTAAAAAATATCCTCTAATATCATTCAACTTTTCTATTTATGTTCCAAAAAACGCTTCATTGCGGGATTTGTCTCTTTATCTGGACAAATTTTTAAAACCATCCACTTTTGAAATTTATTTATAAAAAACGACCAATTCAACCTTAATTTCAAAAACCGACTCATTTCAACCTTAATTTTAAAAACCGACCCAGTTGGTTGAAACTAGGTCGGTTTTTGAAAAAAAAAATTTCAAACTTCACGGGAGTTGAATGTTGGCCTTCTTGTTTTGATGATGTTTAACAAACAATTTACTTCTAATGTTGTTTGTCTAGTATTTGTGTTCTCTTAATTATTCTAGGCAAATAACGTAGTTGGAGGATGGATGGAATAGAGCTTCAACGATCATATCAAATGGAGGTTGGCGGAATAGTAGGTGAAGCTTATGCAATTCAAGTTCAAGATCCAAGTTCAGCTTCATCCGCACAGTGTACCAAGTTGAGCTACAATGAAGATCAAGATCAAGCTTGGGTAATCTAGTTTAGATTTTATATTATGTGTGTTAGATACTCTAAGCTCAATATCATATACACACACATTTATTGGTTTCTTCGTATATATATATAGTTATATATATATACATAAGTTTTGGTTTCTATGCATATATATAGTTATATATATACATACATGTGTTTTTGAGTTTTCATGTTTATAAATATGAAATCACATGTTTCATATTTATTATTGTGTTTTAGTATATATTGCATAGAATATGCAATTTTGTGAAAATATTATTTTCTTAGTTTTTGGACTTAACAATAATCATATACATATTCTATTAAGTCTATATAATCATTGTGTAAAGTCTCAAAACATGGTTTAGCCTAAATGTCAAAATTCACATGTTTACATTTTTGTGTTTTGGACTATTTTTGCAAAATGATGATTTTTCACA